AAAAAATCAAAACAGAAACAAATTCTTCTTATATCCACCAATTACACTCCAGGGTAAGTATTTCAATGAGTGCCCTTTAAAGGGTTAAAAATTAAAGGTCATTATTAGGGTTTAGATCTGATATATGAATAGTACACAGGACTGCAGCCACTCTCTTCAGACAACTAACTTAGGGAAGCACATATTACTGTACAAAAGCTCCACAAATATGTCGTGAAAATACAAGCAAATTGTTAGATATTTGTATTAACTCCGAATCCTTTGTACATTTCCTGCAGTGAATCTAAAATAACAAAAGAAATCCTTTAAAGTTAAAGTTTATGAAATGTGAATGTTCAAATTAGTAACAGGCTAAATAACAGGCACAGATAATATGCACATTGTGACAAACTGGAAAAAAGTGTGAGGATTTTACTTATCACTCAGCAAATGCTAAAAACTGATGTTTCTTCCTCAGGTCAGTCTCCGATGATTGGTCCACATCAGCCAATAGTGGCATTGGTTGGTGATGACATAATTTTGCCATGTCACCTGGAACCAGCTGTGGATGCTGTTTCTATGACTGTGGAGTGGGCGAGAGCGGACCTGAGTCCACGGTTTGTCCATTTGAGACGAGACGGTGTGGAACTCCTGACAGACCAGAATCCTTCCTACCTCGGGAGAACGTCAGTGTCCATCAACAAACTCAAGCACGGAGACCTTTCACTGACACTCTCCAAAGTGAAGTTATCTGATGAGGGATCTTACAAATGTTTTATTCCAACAGAGGGAACAGAATATATAGTCAAGCTTGTTGTAGGTAAGTGGTAAATAATCCCTGGTAGTTTTTTAAAGTTGAACTAAGGTGTGAATTCTCTTCGTAATTGTTTTTGTAAGGACATATTGTGTATACAGTACAATGCTGTGGTACATATTTGAAGATAAATCCATTTACTGACAAACAGTTGGAAACAGCATCTGAGGCCTGTGGGTGGGCATTTCCCATGTCAGCTGTTGTTTCTGACATGTGAGGGCTCGGGTTGGCGCTGCGGCGCTGTGAAATTCACACTGATTACTATCAAACGTTCTGTGCCTCATTCCCTTCACTGAAGATGTTTTGTCTCTCTGTCCTCAGGTTATGTGTCCTCACCTGTTGTAATAATTTCCAAAGTCAGCAGTGGATTATATTTACAGTGTGAGTCTGAAGGCTGGTATCCAGAGCC